TGTGTGTATGTGTGTGTGTATGTGTGTATGTGTGTGCATGTGTGTGTATGTGTGTGTGTATGTGTGTGTGTATGTGTATGTGTGTGTGTATGTGTGTGTGTATGTGTGTGTGTATGTGTGTGTGTGTATGTGTATGTGTATGTGTGTGTGTGTGTATGTGTGTGTGTGTGTGTGTAACTCAGCCATCCTGGATCATTCCTGAACCAGTTAATCATTAAGATTTTTCACTGTCAAATATAAGAGAACACTAAAATCTGAAGACGACTTCCCTCATCTTCTCTTTATTGTTTAAAATATTTGGTGTCACGTGTATTCTAGGCATTAAAATATGATTTCCCCCCTCTTTATATCAGGGTAAATAACTAGTGCCAAAACAAAGAGCTTCAACATGTCAGTGGCTTTCACATCAAAGGTTTCTTTCTTTTTCATGCATGTCACAGGCCATTGCTGCCCCATGCAATCATTCAGCCACCCTCCTTCCTTCTGTCTAGTCTCCTCCACCGGTTCCTTTGCAACTGGGAGCCAATGGGATAAGAAAAAGAACATGGTGGATTGTGAGAGTGATCAAAGAGACTAGGTCTGAGAGTGATATGCATCTGTTTTGATCACAGTCCACTTGCAATAACTCCATTTGCTTCACCTAAAGAGGCTGAGAAATTTCTAATGTGTTTCTCTTCTAAAAGAAGAGAAGAAACATGCATACAGGTGAGTAGTAGGTTCTCGGCCACAGGCTTCAATAGATATATAAAAGACAATTTTTTTTGTAGATGGGACTGGTCTCACAGGGGAATTATCATAGCGCCCAAATCTATGTGCATTTAATTGGGGATTCTGTTGTGCTTTGGTGAAAAAAGTATGGGATTTGAAATCAGATACCTGGATTTGTGCTTGTCCTAGCTCATCACATATTAGCTCTGTGACCTTACATAAGACACAGTCTTCCTGAGTACCAGTTTCATTTTCTATAAAATAAGGATGATAATAATATCGGCCTCACCTACCGATAGGTTGTTTTCAGGGTCAAGCCAGATCAAAGGGAGAGTTTATTGTATTCTTATGAGGTACTTTGTGAAAATAAGTCCCTACCCTTTGCCTCATTCTTCTCTTTGGTCCAGGTTCCACTTTTACTATCAGTATGATATGTTGCATCTGCCTGGCTATAAGGAAGATGGACAGAGATGCTAATGCTTACGTTACTAGGAGACCAAACATTGTTTTCAATCTTCCTTCAGAGACTGAATGTTTATTTTATATATATACACTATATATATATGTATGTGTATATATATATATATATATATATATATATATATATATATATNAACGACCCTTTCACAGGGGTCGCCTAAGACCATCGGAAAACAAAAAGATATTTACATTACGATTCATAACAGTAGCAAAATTACAGTTCTAGAGTAGCAACGAAAATAATTTGATAGTTGGGGGTCACCACAACATGAGGAACTGTATTAAGGGGTCACGGCATTAGGAAGGTTGAGAACCACTGCTTTACAGGGATTGCAACTATTTTCATTTAAGGATAAGGAAACTGAATTTGATTGATTTTTCTAATATCATACAGCTAAGTTTTGGGCCTCAGGTGTGGAACTTAGTACTCATGTTCTGCCTTTGTTGAATTACCACAAAATCTTCACGTTGATCATAAGAATAATAATGAGAGTTTTTACTCCTCTTTTGTCACATATAGACTGTTTCTCACCACTATTATTTCTTGCACATCTGCTATGTTTTTTTTGACACATGCAGTGTTTGTCACAGCTACCTTATAAGGTGAGGCTTCTCAATTCCATTTATAGTTGAGGAAACTCAGGCTCGTCCAGGTCAAGTAACTTATTCCAGGTCCTATTCCCAATAAGTTGAGATCTTACTCTAGGTTTGTCTGACTTTAAAGGTCAAGTTCTTTTCTCCATGTGTCTTCCTCATTAGCTACTGGGATTTGACTGGATATGATTTTTACTTTAATGAATGTTGGGCCACGTGATAAACAAGTAAAGATTATTCTCAGATAGTATCCAATTCCTTCAGAAAGATGCCTTTGAAAATAATCCTTAGTGTTGTTTATATAAATGAGCTGAAGTGTAGGTTTCTCAGAAATTAGGGTGAAGCATAGTTGGAGAAAGAGTATTAATCCCCCCCCATACTTGGTCACAGGGAGATTTTGTATGTGTTCTGGAGGACTTAGGTCTGAAGGTCTGTGCTAGACGGCGTCAGCCTGTGTTTTCGCTTTGCCAAGTGAGGTGAGACGAGCCTTCAGGCTGAGTTCAAGTAGGGGAGCCATTGCTATTTGTAAGTTGCCTGCCCGAGTTTCTCCATGGGGTCATCTGAGCCACGGGGCTCTCTGCCATACATCTGATGGAGCTTTCAGTGTGGGTAGCGTTGAATATGACACTTCCTGCCCTTCAGAGTAAGAGCAGATTGTAAATGGTGGGAGACCACTTGGGAATTGGTCTCTTGTTTCTGGACTTCAACCTTCTCCCCGTTTAAAGGACCCATTATTCATAATGGCATCCCTACATGATAAAATAGCTGCCACTTCCTGCCTCAGTGATTTTTCATATTTGCCTTTGTGAACCTAAATTTCTTTGAAGAGCATGGGTTTGATAAATAAACAATAAATAATAATTTTGAGAAATAAAATTTTTAATGAACATCTCAAGTCAAGTTCAAAGTTTTAAAAGAACTCTACAATAACTCTCTTTAAGTATATGGAAGCATTGTGCTAAGAATGCAGCTGGCCATTTATTACTGTTTTGTATTAACTAATTGGAAAACACCTAAATTATAATTAGTCACCCTCACACCACAGTTCAGGGTTGATTAAACAGCCCATGACACTTTTTCCCTCATGGCTGTTTTAGGTGTAATTATAAGGACTTTGCCCATTGGACTGAGTTAATTATTCCTTATGTTTCTAGTGTTCCTCCCTGCTCTCTGTAAATGTCCTAAAAATATTCAACCATGTTGCACCATTTTTCCCCCCTTATGTTTCACAATGGACACATATAACCAGGAAAGTTTAAGCAATTGTTTGGTTTGGTTTTGTTCTTTCAAAGGAATAGATAAATCATCATGCTACAACATGAGAGAGGAAATGACAGTTTTTATCTTTTATTCAGGTAGCCTATATTTACATGAGACCACAAAAAGTTCCTGACAGGATGTTATTGATTGCGTTTACCCAATTGGGGCTTGAGATGAGTCTTCCTGCCACATCACAAGACACGCTCTTATTTTCATTCCTGCCTGAAAATAAAATCCCAGATCTTCTGGACTCTCCCATGAAATTATGAATTTTTAGAATTTAGAGATTTTAGGCCCCTTGACAGACTTCCCATTAATTATTCTTCTCACTCAGCCCCCTTCTCTCTTTGCCAGTCGTAAACAATATCCTCTCTTGTTGGGTGCTTTGAATAATAACTCAAAGGAACTAAGTGAAGATCAAATAGTCACTATAGTAACTAAGGTTTACTAAATACCAGGCCCTCTTATACATGATTTATATGTATTAACTCATTTAATTCTCACAACAACTTCATGAGGGAGGGACTATTTTTATTATCATTTTATAGGTGAGGAAACTAAGACACCCTGATTTGTGATTTACCCAAGGCAAAGGCCTTCTCCCTCTCTCCCTCCCTTTCATCCATCATCCATCCATCCATCCAAGTAAAAAATGTTAACTAAGCACTGAATGTGTGCTGAGCAGTCTTATGGGCACTGTGGGTGGCAGTGAACACAGCAGATAAAGTCCATGCCCTCACAGAACTTCACCACTGTCCCATATTGCCCCAAATTACACATCTCCCCCAAGAAGCTTTCCCAGATTAATTCAACCCAACTTCTAACTTCTAATCCACCTTTCTTTTCAATCCACTTAAGTAATTAAAAAATTCAAAGGGTCATATTTTAGCTAATGTGACTGCTTCAAACCCTTTATGTGCCAATAGGCAATGTCTATCTTTATTATGTACCTTAGGCGCTTTGGTGCATGGTCTTGCTTCCTGTGAGTGGTCACAAAATTCAGTGTCACTGCTAGACTACCTGTGTTGCAGTGAGAGAGAGATACCTGGGACATGATTGGACCCAATTCAAAATGAGATTTTATTTTATTTTACCTGGTGAAAGCATAAAGAAAGTTTAGTTTTCAACAAATGTGGTCATGAAGCTGATTCAGATGTACTGAATGATGTTTGCAGTCTGGGTGTAGAGCATTTAACCCCAAAGCCATGGATCGTGCTAGCTCTAGACATCAGCCTGAGCTCTATGAAAACATTCCCCTCTAGGAAAAGTTTCTAGATATTTTAATTGTAATTAGTTAAACTCACTCTTCCTTCTTTCACACTTCTCCTCATGGCAGGTGGTATAGAGGAAGCCATAGGTTTATATATTTAAAAAATCTGATGTAGAGAAAGTACAGTTGGGGATATACTTAGTATGGGTTTAGTGGGATGTATTTGTATGGTTTCTGGTCACTTCCATGTTATGGCTGTTATCCCAGTATACACACATCTCCGAGGAAAATTTCTATTGCCCATTGTGCCAACTCACCGGACATCATGACACAGACATCCAGGACAGAGGTTCTATCTTGATATGAATGTGTCTGATGGTCCCCAGGACTAGAAGCATGTGGATTGAAGAGGAGAAACAAGGTTTGAAATATACAGAGTTGAAAGCCAGTCTGTGGATAAGTCTTCTAAGCCTTACAGCTCCTATATGGCAGAAACTTGACAGAGATTTTCCCAAAGTTGGCAAAAATCCTAAATATGCATGTGACATTATTATCAATAATAAAAACAAATTTTGACCAGCTATATTAGAAGAAAGACATTTATCTTTCTGTTCTTCCTATTAAAACAGTATAAAGTCATTGTCATGGGAAGGGGTAATAAAAGTATGCAGCAAAAAAAAATGTAAAAGTAAATATTATGTAGGTGTGTCAGGCAGTTAATTAATAAAAATATTATATTATCTTCTTTGGATTTTGTGATATGTATGGTATTTGTCAGCTTTTAGAATTTTCAATTTGTTGTCATTTATTTTCTAATTCTCAATAGACATTTACTTTGGTACCTACTTTTATTTGTAATTTGTGTTCTTCAAGAAGACCTCCCCTCAATTACATGTTTCTGTCCTTTAAAAGCCTGAATCTACCGTGTGTGTGTGTGTGTGTATGTGTGTGTGTGTATGTGTGTGTGTATGTGTGTGTATGTGTGTGTATGTGTGTGTGTGTGTGTATGTGTGTGTGTATGTGTGTGTATGTGTGTATGTGTGTGTGTATGTGTGT